CGGATCTCTGTGAGTTCGAGGCCAGCCTGGACTACAAAATGAGTTCCAGGAAAGGCGCAAAGCTACACAGAGAAACCCTGTCTCAAAAAAAAAAAAAAAAAAAGAAAAGAAAATAAAATTTATCTATTCTAAAACCTTCATGACAGATTAAAGTTGGGTAAAATTACTTATCAGAAGGTGAAATTTTTATCAACCGAATAAAAGAGTAACATAAATAGCTATTTTGAGTAGCTCTCCTGAGTCATTTACTTGCTCTTGCTATGTATTTATTTTTCAAATTTCTATTTTGGAATAGCCCCTAATTCTAATAAATGGCCATTGTCTTAAAAAATATATGATACTTCAGAAAAATGAAATAGCTGTCCTGTCAGTAATTTTCTTCTTATCATCACATTGCTATAATCATAGTCTTCATTTTAATTTATTGTTGGAGTGAAACAGTGTCAGTATATTCCCACTCCTTTAAGGACTGGTAAACGGCTTAGAACTATCATAATGTCTATGTCACAAAAGCCAATATCTTGATGTCCCTGAAATTGTCTGCAGCAGTTTACACTGGTTCTCACCACAGCTTAGTGAATGACAATGGCTTTCTATAGCATGCATCATACAAAAGGATTAGCTGAGTGATTTCTACATGTCGGGACCTGTGTTAAGTCTTGCAGAAGTATAATATAATTTAAAATCAGTAATTATTCAATTAGTTATCATTACTTACATAATAGACCCAAGCTTAGAATTTCAGCTACTCATCAGGCAACAAGTGACTAAACTAAGGCTTGGATTTAATGTTTGTGATTCTACTCTGTACCTATAAACTATCTTATTCCAATAGTGGCTGAGATTTCCTTTCAAAAGTTCAACAGTATTTGGTTCTCCTACATTTTATGGGCACTAGGAAGTTGTAATTCTTACATTTTGTGATTAGATGGGGTCATCTAAGCGGTTGTGGGCAAAGTTTAGTGAAGGAAGAGATATATGCTGTGTGTTTACGTTTTTTGTTTGTTTGTTTGTTTTCATTTTACAGAGAGTTGCTGTTCAGCTCAAGAGCCTGGGCTCACCATAAAGTCCAGGCTGACATGGAACTCTTGATCTTCTTGCTTTCACCTCCAAATATGACTGCATGTGTGTGTGCCGTCATGCCTCCACATTGAAACATTTAATTGCTAACATGAAACTTTCTTGACACCTCTCTTTCTTAGTTGAAGTGACTGAGGAGGTTTCATGTTGGGATGTTGTAGCTTTTAAGTGTGAAGAATCCTGACTACTTAGTCATCATACAGAGGCTAGACCCTGGAGGTAATTTTCTAAATCTAAGCTTAGTAATGTGTGTAAATTAGAAACATGGTGTGAGTGTGTGTGTGTGTGGTGGTGGTGGTTTTAAATGACTAAGATTATAGGACTGTTTTTTTAATAATCTTATTTATTTATTTATTTATTTATTTATTTATTTATTTATTTATTTATTTATTTATTATGTATACAGCATATATGTGACTGCAGGCCAGAAGAGGGCACCAGATCTCATTACAGATGGTTGTGAGCCACCATGTGGTAGCTGGGAATTGAACTCAGGACCTCTGGAAGAGCAGTCAATGCTCTTAACCTTTGAGCCATCTCTCCAGCCCTATAGGACTGTTTTTTAACTAGCTGATTAATTTTTTAAAGTATTGAAATTAAAGGATTGCCATATAAAAAGCTAAAATGTGACACTGGCTATATAATTTTGTGGTAGTATTCTGAAATTTCCAATTTTGGTAAATTTGTTAACTGTAATAGGCTAGGAACATACATGTAATTAAAAATACGTAACTACGGTGGAAATTGTGGGGGAAATGTTCATAGGGAACTCCTATAGGGGAAGTACCCAATAATATTGATAGTGATATTAGCATTTATTTCTGCTGTGTTTGATTGACAAAATAGTACAAGAAAGATGTGACTTTGGTGAGAATTAGCTAGTTTGCAAACAGAAATAAGGATAATAGA